GAGACTCTCCTTCAGGTGCCTAGATAGACATGCAAATATATCAAATGGTGTATTAGCCATGTTAAAACTGACAAACTAGATTTGTAGAATTTCTAAAGAAAATATGAGTAAAGGTTTCTCGTGTAAAACTCGTCACCATAATGAAAGAGTGTGGGCTGTTCCTTAGTGGTCCAAGCCAAACTTTTTTTAACAGGTTGAAAATTAAAAACCATCATTCCAAGTCATTCCAAACTCATACGACTCATATCTTCGAAACACAAAATAAGATATTACACAAATTAAGAAACCTAAGTGGTTTCTGTCAATCCTTTAAAGTCCAGGTAACCAAAACTTTGAAGATCCAAAATGTCATACAGGCATTGTTACATGAATCTGTATGAACTGAGCAGTTTAATTTAAGTCTCTTGAAGAGAAATAAACACTGTATATGATTAACAGATTTAATTCAGGCTTTCATTCACATTAAAACACACATATATAGACTTAATCAAACATGGGAGATTGTGCATTCATTATTAGATGAAGGCCTGTTTGGGAAGATACAATGTTTCTTAATATGTAGCCCTGCAAATAAAGGATTTGTAAATACGAAAATCTATACGAGAGTCTGTATGTGGAATTTTCTTTTTTACGTGATGATAACATCCACCTAAAATCGTTTGTGCTTTACTTCCCTTCTGGTGCCCCCATAGGTTTTTTTTTTTTTTTGAGTACCAGATGCACTTTAGGACAACACTTTTTTTATTTTCATATGGATTCATGTTACAACACCTTTATAACCTTTTTGGATATTTTAAGTTAGTCATTTTGGTTACCTGGACTTACTTTGGACTTTCTTTTACTTTTAAAATTGTTGTTAAACAATACAATACATGTTAAATTATTCAATTATTATTTATTTTAAATTTATAACAGTGGCTCAACTGGGCATGCAGATATAATCCTTATTGTTGATTCCTGTCATTATACTTGACAGAATTTTGTTAAATTTGCTTATTTATAAATAAATAATATTCTTCCACCTTGATGCGATCCACAGCTTCCTGCGCCTGAGCCATCCGGGCATTGGTGGAGGGATTTTTCTCAGACTGTAATTGTGTAGATCCGAGATACTTAGCTCCAAAGATCACCCCATCCAGGAGGTCTTCAGGATCACATGGTCCAGGCACTTAGAACAACAAAAAAATTACATTATCAACTATATCACAAGAGCTGTGAAAGCACAACTTGTAAATACTTCTACACTGAACTTCATACCATTCTTATAAGCTGGCTGTGTCTCAGCTTCCTGTTAAAAGACAAAGGAAAATGAATGACATCACATAAATAACTTAACTCTTTGGTTCCATTGCTGTTTCATTCAACTCAGAAAGTCAGAATATCCTACTTTCACTTTGGAAAAGCACATTAAAAATATCAACATAAAAATAACAACATCACACATGATGCTGAAGATTACGTGATAAAATCTGATCTGATTACAGGTGCAGAAACATATGGAAACCTGTTTCCTGTTTCACAGAATAAAATAAAATAAAATAAGATAATTGGACCTTTTTATCTCACAATTCTAACTTTATTTAAACTCCAAGTTTACATATTAAATATTGAGATAACATATCGTCATTCAGACTTTTTTTCTCAGAAAAGAGATATAAATTCTGAATTGCAAGAAAAAAAGTCAGAATTATGAGACATTAATTGTGAGAAACTTGAAATTGCAGTTGGAATTTTGTGCAATAGATATGCAACTCTGAGAACTTATTTCTGTGAATTGCGAAAATAAAGTCAGAATGTGAGATAAAAAGTCGCAATTCCCGATATTGTTTTATTCCACAGCAGAAATGGACTTCCATAGAAATAACGGTGTAAACTGCGTTAAATGAGCTTTTCTGTCAAGCAGTGGGACACTTCTATGGTGAATGATGTTAAGCAGTAATTTCCCGCATTTGCCTTCAATGGAACACAGCCTAACTAACTACAATCAAAAAGGACTAAAATCTCACCAGATTGTTGTTTGGAGAGCTGGACTGATCCGCGCTCAGGCCTTCAGACGGCGTCCACTGATCCTCCTCTGTGATTCCTGAGACCAGCAGCTCATCCTGCAGGTGTCTGTGCCAAGCATCCTCGCTGTGAGATATGGAGATCATCTCATCTGCATCACTGCTCTGCCTTCTGAGTCCTGACTGATGTCTGGGGGTCACCAAGAGTGTGTGAACAAACAGTGGGGCAGTTCTGGGTTCTTCAGGCTCTGGCTCCTCTAGCAGCTGTAGTAGATCTTTCTGATACTCATGTGAAAAGAGCAAAGCCTCAGGGATGTTTCTATCTGCATCTGCACATGCTGACTGGACATTGAACTCAAGCTCTTGCAAGGAGGAAGCAGCGGCCTCCGCTGGAGTATACGAATTATGCGGAGCGCCCTGATTGGCTAATTCATCAGGTGTGCAGTGGGCAGGATTAGTTGGTGATGGATGAAAAAGATGGAGCTGAGTGAGGAGACTTTGAATGTGCGAGTGGTCAATATCATGTTTCCCACTTTTTTCTTCAATTTTCTCTCTTTTCATTTCTTGATTCCTCAATTTTCTATCTCTGTCCTCGACATAATTCTCTTTTGTTTCTCGCTGCTCGTCCTGCTGTTGAAAAACACGAATTTCAGGCTTGTTCTCACACATTTCTTGAGCCAAAAGCTCTTCGGTTTTGTCAGAAGCTTCGCTGGAGTCCTGAGCTCCGTAATCACTTACTGCAGACACTGTGTCTTCATTCAACTCCGTGTTGAAAGATCCAGAAGCCTCAAAATCTCCCACCGAAGAGCTTTCAAGTTCTACAACTGCACCGGCCTCGCTGGAAGAGTCGGACCTCCAGTCCAGTGGTGGGGGCTCGATGGGGTTATAGGAATCTAGATCCTCCAACTCAGGGCTCTGCCAATTTTCACTGTGTGAATTTGAGAATTCAGGAGGGTTAATTGAGTAATCAGAACCATTAGGAGTCCAATTTGCATCAGGTTGGGAATTCTGTGCTGACTCCAAACCTCCATTGTAGAGAAAATCATCTGCCATTACTGCTGGTACTCTTTGCCTCATCCAGTGACTTCTCGGCTTCCCTTAAGTAAGACGCTTAATAACCATTCATCTTCAAGAAGAGCCCTGATCCATGTAAAATGACCTAAATAACAGATTATTAAAGTGTAAGATTAAAGCAAAGTAGAGCTGTGTGTCATCAGCATAGCAAATGTAAGAGAAACCATGTGCCTGTATGATGGGTCCCAGTGATGTAGTGTAGGCTATATGGAGAAGAGGAGGGGTCCAATAACTGATCCCTGAGGAACCCCAGTGACCAGTTGATGTGCTTTTCTAGTGACTATACGTACTGTTCCGGCAAAATATTTCATCATACAATCTCAATCTTCATTATTATTATTTTCCCCATTTTATAATTATAGTCAAGTCATCAAAAGCATGACAAAATACACATGGTAGTATGAGAATCCGAAAACTATTAATACCATTGTATATGAATGCGGTATTCATTGCTTAGTTCCCTTCAAAGTATCAAGCAATCACTGTACCATGGAACAATCACAGTACTTTTTGGTGAAGTAAATTTATAGCGTGGTCTACAAAGATAAGATGCAGATAATGAGATTTGTGTGCGTAAGTAGATGGTTCAAAGAGCAGCATGCCACTGTTTATACATACAAGCATCATGAGAGAGCAACAAGTAGAAATTAGATTTTTGTGAACACATGATCCAAACACACAAAAACGAAAGATCTGTAAATTAACTTTAGTGTTGTTTAATATAACAGCTTACCTTTTATCTAGATCTTCATCAATAACTAATCATCAGTCTCAAGCAAATCCTGGCAGTCGCTTAAAAGGCTGGAGATTGGAGCCGGTCAAAAGGATGTTGTGTCTTAGTGAGACATTCCTACAAACCAACGGGATTCATTTTGTACAGAACGGAGAACTTTTATCCGGTTTTCACTGTGTTATCGTGCGACTCCACAAAACTTCAACGTAGTTCAGAACATTTGCACTGCGCATGCGCACCAGGTCAAGACATGACTAATCCATCGTGTCATCAAACGAGGTGAGCAGAATGTCTATTTAAATCGTTATAAAAATGACTCTAAAAATATAAATGCGAAATTAAAGGCTTTTCACATTTGGAAGAATCATTGAAAAAAATAATACTTTATTTTGCAATTACGCGTGAAACATTTACAAATTATTAGTATACATTTTCACAAATCCATTCATCTATATACAATTATATTAATTTATTTTTTAATTATTCACCTGTGTAGAATTTGACAAAATTCCTAAATACAGATTTATCAGTTAGCCTGTATAAATGGCACACTATTAAACATAATAATTAATTATTACATAACACATAATTATTACAGACATGAAATCAACACTGCCACTGTTTTGTAAGAGTAAAGCCATCCAATGATGCTCTAGGAACATGCTCCTTGTCAGTGAAGAAATTCATAAAGTCATTACTATTAAACTGTGAGGGAATATTTAGATCGGGTGGTGTCTGGATTTGTTCATATAGCCACTGTGCTAAATAAAAATCTTGTATTTAATGAAGCTGAAGTATTATACGCTGTATTAGAGAAGATAGTGCCCATGTTGCTAGTCATTTCGTCTAGTTTATGTGTACTTATTGGTACACAGAGCAGTTGAGATAAATCAGGCAGGTTATTTGTGAATCCATCTTAGTGGCTGGAATAATAGTTCTGCCCGGACGATAACGCGGAGTCATATAGTTAATATCAGTAATATGCAGCATGCACGATACAAGGAAATGGTCAGTAACATCATCACTTTGAGGTACGATATCTATATCAGTAAGATCAATTCCATGCGATATAATTAAATCTAGCATATGATTAAAACGATGAGTGTGCCCGGTGTTTATTAGGTCAGTAAACGCAAGTCCTAATGCATCATTTGTATTATCAATGTAAATGTTAAAATCTCCAACAATTAGCACTTTATCAACAGTAACCAATAGGTCTGAGAGGAAATCTGCAAATTTGCAAGTCCTTGATCACCAGAGCTGATCGGTAGAAGGCCTATCAGTGAGGAGGTCGTTCCCATCAGTCCCACCAGCCATGGAGGAAACCGTCCAGCCCACAGAAATCCAGGCAGCATCCAATGAATGGCATTGCCGAGATCTGCCAAACTGCTCAGGATACTGAACACTTCCCCTCGGATCTGCCTCCGGAGCGCAGCTTCCTGAGAAATGCTTCCTCCCTGATAATCAGACACAAAGAGCCAATCTGTGTTTGTGCAGTGAATATGGAAACATTAACATTTAGACCTAAGCGTCACACTTTTAAAAATTAACACCCACCTGCTCTCAGCTGAACCTGACCTTTGACACGTCTGCGCTTTTCTCTTAAGAAACAGGATGGACCTAATGGATCTAAACACAAAGACTTTTGCTGTTTACCAAAAACAAACACAAATTGCACAGTACAGGGTTATTAGTGTTAACTACAACTAAAATCTAAAACCTCATTTTCATTTTCGTTAGTTTAACATAAAAGTAATATTGAAATAAAATTTCAGTGCATCCGAAATCACATGCTGAGTAGGTACTACATTTGTTAAAACATTTATTTAAAAAAATTATATGTTCAATAAAGTGTTTGTTTGCAATAAAATTATATGTTCAATAAAGCCTGGACTAGTATGCCAGTCCAGGCATACTATATAAACACATGTTGGCCTTGCTATTTGACCGAAGGTCAGTTGCGTCACTTTCCTGAATTCTCCTACTCACTTTTGGCCTTATGGGATAAGTGTCCACTGGATGTGTACTTCAGGATTACAGTGGAAGTGGATCATCTGGATCATCTACATACCAGTGCTATTTTAGTATAACTGAGATACTATTGTAACTTTTATTACTATTTTTAAGTCATTTTTATATTTTACGTTTTCATTTTAATTTAGAAGTTTTTTGTGTGTGTTTTTGTTATATATATATATATATTTTTTTTTTTTTCATGTCTATATAGTTTTAATTATTTTTTTAATTTGAGTTATTCTAATAAACTAAATGAAAATGTATGTCACCTTGGAAACTAGTTGAAAAAAAAAAATTACATTTATTTTATCTCAGTTAATGTTTATTTTAGGTTCAACTTTTAATTAACTATAATAACCCTCAGACATACTACTGTGCGTTCCAAATGGGATATATCGCCCTCCGAAGAGCACTTCGGAGTGAAAACAATCATGGCCGCCATATTGAAGGGTCGTTCCAAACTGAAGTGCTCAAAACTGGCCACTTCAAAGGGCCGTTCAGAACGAAGGAATTCAAAGGGTACAACTGATGGACACTTCGGGCTCCCATGATCCTTTGCATGATGACGGCGCCTCCGTGTGGGCACGGGATGATGACGCAGAAGGGCACTTCAAGAAACAGTTGTTTGGTCCCCTACACCCTTCAACCCTTCAAAGCGTGGGCACGGGATGATGATGCAGAACGGCACGTCAAGAAACAGTTGTTTGGTCCCCTACACCCTTCAACCCTTCAAAGCTCTCACTCCTGGAGGGTAAACCCTTTGAAGGGATTAGGACATAGGGATGAGCCCTTGCGAATGGAACGCAGGGCTACTTGTACTACAACAGCTTTTTGCCTACTATATAGGAGGCATAATAGGAGGCAGGGTTAGTAATTCTATAACAAATATTTAAACTTAATTAGTGGATTTTATTTCATAACTTTTCTTTATTTTACATTATCTTAACAAAAAACTTTATTTCCAGGTTTAAATGAAAAAAAAAATGTTTACTAAGATCCTTCTATTATCTATTGAAACCCACAATAATATTTAAAATATTAGTAAGCTTAATATATATATATATATATATATATATATATAATCATTTATTGGGTTCTTTCAGTTGGGAGGTGGCTGTCCCAAACCCCAACCCCTAAATTTTAACTTATGAAAATTATATTTAAATATTTTTTTTCCCATTGCTGTTTTCAAAAGCATATTTTGGATTCTTTTAAAAAAGTGAAGTTCAAAAAAGTACTTATTTTATTTTTTCTTTGTAGATTATGAAACTTTTTATGTAAAAAAAAGTGTCCAGCACTTTCATGTTTCGTGTGCTCACTCCACTCTCTGCCTTTACCCGAGTATGTTGAGGATGAGTGATAAGCCCCACAGGCCAGTGCTCAGCACCCACCACCTGTAAGATTTGGTTTTGATGAGCTCTGCATCTGCCGCCCAGGCGATGTGCTCGCAGGATCATAACTGATCAGCTACATTATTCAGAATTGACATCCAGCGCACCAAAGCATCCTCCTCCTGAGAAAAAAAGCCATTAAATAAGACTCTCCTTCAAAACTCCAAGTGTTACATTTAAACAGAGCCATCCTGTGTCCTCACCGAGGCTCCTAACCCATAGCTGGTGGAGTACGTCAGCATGGACAGGTCATCAAAGCGAGTTTTTTGGCCAGTGTAGAGTAGGGCTTGTTGTTTGTCATTTCTCCGATCACAAATTTTATGTTTACGCGGCGCGATGCAACGCGTAAAAAGACAGTATAAGTCATTACAATCCATAATTATGTCCCCACTGGATGCAGCGAATGCCTCGTTTATAATGGGTTTTCATGTTTTTGAATCATCGCTCCGGCCTGACAGGGCATCACAGTATGTTAAGGGGAGTACGCTTGAGGTATTCAGCCAATCACAACGCACTGGATAGCTGGCCAATCACAGCACACCTCGCTTTTTCAGACTGATGAGCTTTGTAAAAATGAAGCGTTTCAGAAAGGCGGGGCATAGAGGAGAAACAATAATGTACAGTATGTGGCTGTCTCATGTAATCGCTCAATCAGTGTTTCAGCCGCGCAAAGACGTCAATATAACGTCTTGTAAACAATGTCACATAACTTCACATTTACCTCAGAAAAAGCATATATGGTGACCATAAACTCATTAGTCAGATAGAATTTTAGCATTTTGCTAAATATATGCACCAAATAACATATTCATTATACATTTTACTGTTCTTCAATGTTTAATTTATGTTTGAATAAATCCATCAAGTTTTTATGACAGCCACCATTATGTTTATATTTAAAAAAAAAAAAACGAATTGAAGTAGAAACATTATTATGTAATTGTAACTTTATTATTTTAAAAACGTCATTAACCCTTAAATGCATGAATGTTTCACCAATCATTATTACATATTCGGGTCTTTAGTGACCCGGACCTATATATCTAGCGCACTTCCACAGTACATTCAGCATCTGCCTCATATTCACGATCTCAACTATATTCTCAAAACTATCGTTTTCAATGACTTCATATTCAATATTTTGATCACTGGCAGC